TGCTTTTTCCGAAGTTTCTCAAGAACTCTTTGAGCCACAGATTTCGTTTTGGCATCGTTGGATAGAGAATTGAAAATTCGATTGAGTGCTCACAACATGAGTGAGGAAATTCGAGTAGTTTTGACCCAGAAAGTGAAATTTCAATATGAGGCACTTAGGTTCAAGATTATGCCAAAATGTCATGTTTTCCGTCCTGTTTTTGCTCATTTATCGGAAGCCAAATGAGCAAGAACCCTTATTTTTTACATCATTCCAGAGATAACTAAATGGCCTTTTGAGAAAGTGAACCACCGATCAGCAAATGTTGGCACTTTTCTCAAAAAAGTCTTGATTTCAAGAAGTTTTAGATTCGCGAGTTTTTTGTTTGAGTTGCAAAATCGACTCAAACATGACGCTGCTTTTTCCGAAGTTTCTCAAAAACTATTTGAGCCACAGATTTCGTTTTGGCATCGTTGGATAGAGAATTGAAAATTCGATTGAGTCCTAACAACATGAGTGAGCAAATTCGAGCAGTTATGACCCAAAAAGTGAAATTTGAATATCAGACACTTAGGTGCAAAGATTATGACAAAATTTCATGTTTTCCGTCCTGTTTTTGCTCATTTATCGGAAGAAAATTGAGGAAGAGCCCTTATTTTTACATCATTCCAGAGGGAACTAAATGACCTTTTTAGAAAGTGAACCACCGATAAGGAAATGTTGGCAGTTTTCTCAAAAAAGTCTTGATTTCAAGAAGTTTTAGATTAGCGAGTTTTTTTTGCGTTGCAAAATCAACTCAAACACGACGCTGCTTTTTCCGAAGTTTCTCAAGAACTATTTGASCCACAGATTTCGTTTTGYCATCGTTGGATAGAGAATTGAAAACTCGATTCAGTCGTAACAACGTGAGTGAGAAAATTCGAGTAGTTTTGACCCAGAAAGTGAAATTTAAATATCAGACACTTAGGTGCAAGATTATGACAAAATTTCATGTTTTCCGTCCTGTTTTTGCTCATTTATCGGAGGCAAAATGAGCAAGAACGCTCTATTTGTACACCATTCTAGAGATAAATAAATGGCCTTTTTATAAAGTGAACCATCGATAAGAAAATGTTGGCAGTTTTCCTGAAAACCACTTGAATTCAAGAAGTTTTAAATTTGCGTGGTTTTCTTTGAGTTGCAAGATCCACTTGAACATGACGCTGCTGTTTTCTACTAGAGGGAACTAAATGGCCTTTTTAGAAAGTGAACCATCGATAAGGAAATGTTGGCAGTTTTCTCAAAAAAACTCTTGAACTCAAAAAGTTTCAGATTTGCGTGTTTTCTCTTGAGTTGTAAAGTCGACTTTTGAAAAATTATCGTTAGTCCATGACCACCCTGGATCCACCCTTGGTTTCATCGTTCTTCGTATGAACGTCATCTTATACGAATTTATTAATATGAAGTAAAGTTATTGGCATTCGATAAACAGTAGTCGAGACTTAACAACAAAAACCGGTTGCTTTTAAATGTCGGTAACTCTATTTTGGTGCTATTTGAAACCAAACAGTCAAACTTTAAGGATCTCGAAAGATTACCAGTCTTAGGGAAGGATTTGGTGGTTCATTAGAATGAAAATACCGAGCGGGCGCTTCGTACCACCAAAATGTATAAGTTACCAACGATTAGACAAATTGCAAGTCAAAGTTGGCTTAAAATATAAATAGAAATGCTTCTTATTAGCCTAAAGCCCCACCAACTCGAAGATTACTTAAATATGCAGTAAATGCAATGATTGTAATATTTTTTAAATACAGATATATTACTAATATTATTATTAGTTCGGTGATGCGTAGACATTGTCGTTTTCCTAAGAAGAAGCATACAAATTAAATGCGCAAAGGAGAAATTAACTTGTTAAAAAACTCCATATCAGTAGACATTGAAAACGGTTTACGATGCACATTGAAGAAATCTTATCCTTGTTTCGCGCAAAACAGAACGATGTCTAAAGTAATGATGGACTAGCACTTCCAACCCTCCTCCTTTGATTATTGCAAGAAATTACCAAGAAAACGAGCTCGAAAACAATATTTCAAAGGCGACAGCAGAATGCGAAAGAACCTGTGAGTCTCACCAAATGAAACCTTAACTGAAACGAAAAAGAAAGTCCAATTACGCTTAAAAAACGTCTGGAGATGTACAAAAATTACGAGTAATGATTCGACTCTAAACGTGTCTGAGACAAGCACGTAACTCCCGTGTACCGAGACGACAGAGTCGTATAAAAAGCCGGACACTTCATTTATAAAGAACAAGCTTGTAATAACACAGCGAGCAGCTTGGCAAGCACGTATAATAAAAATAAAATAACTCTTTTCAATTAATGAAGATAAAGATTTATTGCACTGGCGGCAATAAATAATGGTAGCTGCAAAAGGCAAATTCACCCACACAGCCACATTTATAATATTGAAAATACAAACGCTAATTAATGAATGCACGCTGCTAATTTACGGCGACGTGCAAAAATCCTCAGGCTTTCTGTCTTCGTCATTATTCACGTCCGATGACAATATTGTGAATTGAGTTTCACAATTCGCATCCAAGATGAATGTGGGCAACCACATTTTCATTGAGTCAATCCTAACAGTTAAAAACTTACCAACGATCACAACGTGACCAAACGCTGAAGGGTTCTCGATGCCGCTGCAATTCCATCGCTGATGTCGAAACTGATATTTACATTCGTCGGTTGCCATTCTTATCCCATCCCCAATTGCCACCATTGCATCTACAAATTTTAATTGCATTTTTTACTTAATTAAAATAGCAAATTGCACAAACAAGTACTGGGTACAAAAATTAAAAACATTGCAGTCTGCCCTTTAAAGGCACCCCTTTGTTTTATTATAAAATAGCATGAGAATGTTGATTTTTTTACCTCAAATATTGTGTATTTCTGAATGCGTCGCCGCATTAAGAAATGCACAATATTTGAGGTAAAAAAATCAACATTCTCATGCTATTTTATAATAAAACAAAGGGGTGCCTTTAAAGGGCAGACTGCAATGTTTTTAGTTTT